CCAAGTTTCAGTGATTAATTCAGTTATTAAAGAATAAATTGTTAGTACAGTAATCTTACTGTTGTAGAATGTGATATGCATTAGAATCCAGACACACTTCAAATACAAAAATGATGCATTGCGAAGAGGAATTTGGCACTCTCAGCTGTTCTGTAAACATGAACATTATATTTTGTTTCACAAAATCTGAACTTGGAGTTCTTCAAGTGAACATGTGCATTCCATTCTTGCTGTCTGTGCACCCAATGCACAGTCATCAGAAATGTTTTCCCTCAGCAATACCCATTGGGTGACACAGTCACCAGGCTTCAAGCCGTGTGCTTCTTGCTAGAGGCCTATGCCAGTGAGCAATCCGCACAATAACTGCCTGAAGTGCTTGGGTGAAACACACATAAAAGACTGGTGCCTGATTTGCAGGGAGTTCAAACCTAGAATGAAGAAGGATAGGGAGGTTGGCTGAAATTCCTGCTGTTGGAGGTAATGCTCATCCTCGTCTGAGTCTGCAACTTCAGTGAGAATCCCACCTCCAGCTCTAATGGGATCCTGGCACCTGTCTCCACAGGTGCTGACTTTAGTTTTTGCTAGTGGATGCTCCTCTCTGCCCTCTTTCCCCTGTGCGAGAGGCGGGAGGGGCCTCAGTCAGAAGACGCCGAGCGGGGACAGGGCTTCGGGCAGGAGCGCAGGTGGAACATGGGGTGGAGCCCACATAAGATTAATCTGGTACTGCAGGTGCTGAACATCCCCTATTTTTATCGGTAGGTGCTTGAGCCCCAGAGCACCCATGGAGTTGGCACTCTGTCTCCCTTGCCTAGGCCGAGGAAGAAATATAAGACTTCCAAAGATGCCCCAGCCAGGGGAAAGTCTCCACCCTCTTAAGTTTGGTAAGGGGGTGAGAAGGAGTTGAGCAGAGTGCACCTGAAACCTAAGCACTCCTCCTCCAGATCGGTGCCTAAGTCAGCACAGTTGGCTCTGGCACCACAGAGAGCACCATCAAGCCTGGTGTCAGAAGTGGCACTGGCATCTTCTTCAGCACCACAACAAGATACCATGTCGGTGCTGACTACCTTGGAAGCATTTGCGGTCCCAAAAAAATCTGCTCTGCCTCTCAGTGCTGATGTCTCTGTCACTACAGGAGTTGGATTCCTTGGCAATATTGTGCTATCCCTGTGGCAGCAGTTCAACCTCCGGTACTTCAGTTGCCTGCTTCCTGCACTGTCTTAAGGGGAAGCCTGATATGATGGCAATGCTCCGCCCATCACCAGGTTCTCATCATTGGTCCCTGGCACTGACTGGATCAGTCCCTTCATGGTCGGAGGAAGGGGAGTCTTTGTCGTTGGACTCAGCAGTGGGATTTTAAGTCTCACAACTCTGAAGCTGGACCTACCAGTCTCCTCCCAGATCCTCTCTTCCAGCCTACCATTGTGACTCTTTAATGGGAACTGCCATGGGAATGTGGCCAGGTCAATGGGGTCCAGCCCCATATCAATGGCTGTTTTGGAGCCCTTGGAGTTTTCCCCCAGCTTCCAGATTTTGTTCTCACTGTATGCACTCAGTACCCTCATCCACAAGGGCAGAAACTATGGACCGGGCAGCTCTGTCTCCAGAGTCCAGTACCGGGGCTGGCACCGACCATCAAGAAGAGGTTCTAGAGCCAGACCAACAGCCATAGAAAAAGTTTTGCCCTCACCAGTCTTGGCTTCCTCTTAGAATCATAAAACCATAGGGCTAGAAGGGACCGCAAGGGTCATCTAGTCTAACCCCGTGCCAAGATGCAGAATTTGTTGTGTCTAAACCATCCACGACAGATGGCTATCCAATCTCCTTTTGAAAACCTTCAGTGAAGGAGCTTCCATAACCTCCCTAGGCAGTTTGTTCCATTGTTCTTACAGTTAGGAATTTTTTTCTGAGATTTAATCTAAATCAGCTATGCTGTAGTTTGAACTCATTGTCTCTTGTCCTGTCCTCTGGGGCAAAAGAGAACAACTTTTCTCCATCTTTCTAATGGCAGCCTTTCAAGTAGTTGAAGACTGCTATCATGTCCCCCTTTAATCTCCTCTCGTCCAAACTAAACGTACCTACTTCCTTCAGCCTTTGCTTATATGCCTTGCATTCCATCCTTTTGCTCATCTTTGTTGCTCGGCTCTGGATCCTTTCCAGTTTTTCTACATCCTTTCTATACATTGGTGACCAAAATTGGACACAGTACTCCAGCTGAGGCCTAACCAGCTCTAAGTAGAGAAGTACTATCACCTCCCTTGACTTGCATGCTATGCCTCTGTTAATGCAACCCAAAATTGCATTTGCTTTTTTTGCAGTAGCATCATATTTTTGACTCCATGTTAAGGTAGTGATCCACCACAACTCCCAGATCATTCTCAGTAGAGCTGCTGCCAAACCAGTATTTCCCCATTCTGTATTTGTGCATTTGGTTTTTCTTCCCTAAGTGTAGAACCTTATATTTATCTTTGCTGAATTTAATTTTGTTGTCTATAGCCCAGTTCTCTAATTTATCAAGATCCCTTTGAATTTTAGCTCTATCTTCCAAAGTGTTGGCAACTCCTTCTAGCTTTGTGTCATCTGCAAATTTGATCAGTAGGCTCTCTATTCATACATCCAGGTCATAAATAAAGATGTTAAATAACACCAGACCCAGATAATATCCCCGTGAAACCCCTCTTGAGACTTCCTTCCAATCTGACATCATTCCATTAATATCTACTCTTTGTTTGCAGTTGTTTAACCAATTATGTATCCACTTAATTTTTGGAATTCACCAATATTCATGCAATTTAATGATTTATCTGGTATCTTGCTCTCCAGATCTCTGACTATCAGCCAAATTTTTCAGGTCTTCAATTTTTGGGTGCCCAACTTAAGACACCTAGGACAGCCAACAATTATTCAGACATTTATTGATCCCTACAGCTTCTATTGACTTTAATGGTACTATAAATGCTCAGCACATCTGAAAGTCAGATACAAAGTGTTTCAAGTAGGGCACCCAAAAACAGACACTCCAAATTAGTGACCAATTTTTAAAAGTATAGGTGTATCTTTCTAAGAGGAAAACTGGTGGGGAAAATGAGAGTAGTGAGAGTATAATTAGGGCTCCATCTGCCCCATGGCACAAGGGGACTAAATGCTGTAGAAAACACTCCTAAGTTCTGGGAAAGAACTCCTGCTACCTCCAAAGGCATCACATACCATTTGCATATATTTGTACAAAAATTGTTACTTGTTTTAAGAAAAGGAGTACTTGTGGCACCTTAGAGACTAACCAATTTATTTGAGCATAAGCTTTCGTGAGCTACAGCTCACTTCATCGGATGTTCCGATGAAGTGAGCTGTAGCTCACGAAAGCTTATGCTCAAATAAATTGGTTAGTCTCTAAGGTGCCACAAGTACTTCCTTTCTTTTTGCGAATACAGACGAACACGGCTGCTACTCTGAAACCTGTTACTTGTTTAATTTTCTCAAAACTAGCAACAAGCCAAAGTTTACCTCTTTTGCTTCATTTAAATATTTCACAATATTTTGCATGTATATACAAAAATATATTACATTTGTTTAAGTCCTTCCATGAAGTGTAAGATTACTACCTCTCTCTCCTAGATATAGTGTCAGAGCTGTTCAAGAGCATTGGATAATGTCACCTTCTTGTAGCTGTTGCTTACAGAGCATAATTTCTAGTTACTACGCATACCTGAATGTTTTGTAAGTTGGTATATTATAACATAATTAGAAGGCGGTCACAGCTCTGTCCCCGTCCGTCAGGGAGGGAAACCACGCCCCCTTGCTATAATGCTTCTGGAGTGACTCAGTTCAAGGGGAAATTAGCCGACAGTTAATAGGCCCAAGCCTGCAGTACAGGCCAGGCAGCAATTGGATCTATAAGTCCCGGACCTCAGCCAGGGCGATGCAGCAAACAGTTAATGGCTCTGGCCTGTAGTCAGGCAGAACAGTAGTGAGTCTATAAGCCCAGATCCTTCAATCGGGGAGGGCAGCAAACACTTAATGGCTCTGGCCTGCAGTCAGGCAAAGCAGCAGTGAGTCTATATGCCGGGAGGACCCTCAATCAGGGCAGGGCAGCAAACAGTTAATGGCTCTGGCATGTAGTAAGGCAGAGCAGCAGTGAGTCTATATGTTGGGGGCCCTCAATCAGGGTGGAGTGGCAAAACAGTTAACGGCTCTGGCCTGCAGTCAGGCAGAGCAACACAGCAGTCTAGGGGGATCAGCTCTCTGGTGGGACAGAAAGCAAAACCATCTGGCATCCTAACTCAGGCCGGGGACAAACCAATGCAAGCCTGTTGGCCTAAAGGTGGGAAGGCTGCCACACTCAAGGGCAGGGGGACACAGGTGTGACTCCACTGTGTCCCAGCCCAGGGCCATAACAGTGGCAGAGTGGTCTGCCACTGGATCAGCAGGGAAATCCGGCAGCAACATGTTGGCCGGCTTGCAATTAGTAATGCAGCCAAACCCTATTCGGCTTCCCTGGGCTCCTTCCTACACTCCCATTCAGGAGGTACCTGTGTTCCAGGGTCGTCGTTCATCTGGCTGGGGTAAACAGCTAATGGCAGCCCCAGCAGCTCCTCGGTGTTCCCGGTGCCTGGCAGCTCCAGCAATCCCTCTGGGTTTCTGGCGATGTAGCTGCCTCCATCGGGTCCAAGCTTCAGCAGCAGGGGGGAGATGTCCTGCTCCTCTGGCAGCTCTCCCACAACTGAGCTGGAGGGCCTGCCTTTTATATTTCCAGTTCCTGTCCCACCCCTCTGCTTCCAGATATCCAGAGCGGATATCCGGGCTCTGCCCACCAGGGAGACAAAGCCCGCTCACTGCAATGTTTTCAGCTATTGTTTTTGTGATCTTCTGTTTTGTGACACTTTTGAAAACAGTTCAAGAGAGCTGACCTGTTATACACAGACTATTGTGGATAGCTTATAAATGGGTTTGAATTTGTAAGGTGGTTTGGATACTCATGGCATCTTTTTTCTTTTTTAATGAAGGCATTGGGGATGGAGGAAATGAACTGGGAATGGGAAAAGTAAAAGAAGCTGTAAGGAAGCACATAAAAAATGGAGATGTTATAGCTTGTGATGTTGAAGCTGATTTTGCTATTGTAGCCGGTAAGTTTTTAAAAAGTGAGAACAAAGCACATGTGTTGCAGATTAATTTTGGTTTGGCACTTTCTCTAAATGATCTACTGAGCATTCAGGTACTGTGAGCTTTCTCTCTTTTGTGCCCAGTCCTGTGAGGTGTTGAGCATCCACGTCTTTCCCGGTATAACTGAAAATGGAGAATGCTCAGCATGTCACAGGATTGAACTTTTCATAATGAGTTCCTGCAAAATTAAAAGATCAAAGATCATCACATGACTCTAGAGTCCTGTTTGTGAGTTACTTTTGGAGCCTTTTTAACTTTTAGACTGCTGTTAATTTCATTTCGAAACTGTACTAAGCAATTAAAGGTGTTATGTTCAAAAGCATTCAGCCTCTCTCTGCTCCCATTGAAGTCAGTGCTCAGTATTGGCATAGCTCTGCTCTCATTAAAGTCAGTGTTACTTCAATGGCAGCAGAACTAGGCCAACACTGAGTACTTATGAAAATTCCCACCCTAAATAAATATTAAAATCATTTGACTCTCAAGGAGAACTGTACAGCCATCTTCTATGCAGGAATTAAATGAACTTTGTATTCATATAAGTTCAGTGTATTTGTTAGTGCCCTGGGGGTGTACCATACCAGGCTAAAATCAATTGCACTTATGGGGTGATGCGAACTCTATCAAATAATCTCTGCAGGGCTTCTATACATTCTAAATTTTGCATGTAACAAAACAGAAATGCAACTTCATGTTTAGAACCCTTTCCTGCCCTGTTGACTTGGCCAGCACAAAACAGGCTTTACAGAAGTTAATAATGAAGGAGACTGATTCAGCAATGACAGATTTACAAATTGTGTGGTCTGTATTGTGCTATAGCTCAGTACATTGGGTGCCCATGTATGTGCCATAATGGGAGGTCACTTTAATAGAAGGGACTAGGGAGGCTAGATTTCCAACACCAATGGTACAGAAATAGGAAGTAATTGGGGAGGAAATTGGGAGTGAAGAGTCTGATTGTTTCTACCCTTTCTGCCCATGTGTCTGTCCTAAAGTTGCTGTTCTAGGAACTGCAGTGTTTATACTCAGAGCAGCTGGCTAGCCCAAGACACAGTAGAGGAAAGAAAAGGAATGTGTTTTGAGCAGGAAGGTCAAATGGGGAATGTAACATGCAACTATAACATTAATTTCCAAATTTTCTAAAAATGGAAGTGTGGAAAATTTGAATATTCCAGACTTCTGGGAACAGAGGTCTAGGAACAGTAGTTGTGCGATTTACGGGTGCAGGAGCAGTAGTCGTGTGATCGGAGTTGCTGGATCAGTAATGATAAAATATGAAGTCTGCTGAGAGAAATGCAAACACAGTATTAGAATGATCAAGTATTTTTAAAGAAGTTGCCAAACATCACTTAAAAGACAATGAGGTCTAGTCTGATCTCAGTGTACAAATAATTCATGGATATTAACTTTGTTGGGATAAACACAATCCCACAAAGCCCTAAAGAAGAATTATAGACTTCATCAGCAGTCAACAGACAGTCATTTGCTGTTTTCATCACAGCTGCTCCTCCCATAAAATGGCTGAATTGTTTACGCAGCCTATGCTCTTTGTGAACAAAAAGAATAAGCTATGAACTTTATAAAAAATTTTCATTATAAAATCTGACACCATGTAAATCTCACCTGGTTTTGGAAAAGCTGATAACTCAACTCATCCTAAGTTTGCAAAAGTTGACAAGACTTGGTTCAGTTAAAGCCACACAGAATCCATGGCTTTGGCACAAAGCCAAGTGAAATTCTGGTTTTGACTATTTCCCTTTTGAGTTTTTGCATTTGTTTGAACCACAAACCCCCAAATTTAAACTAGTAGCTGCAAACCTGCACGTATTGGATCGGAAATAAAAGTTCACACAAACAGCTAAAAAAAAAAACTTTGCTCAACTCTAAATTAGACACACAAATACAGCATATAGCAAAGTTAAAAACTTTTATATTACAGAAGATACCCAAAGGTGAACGTGAATGACAAGATTTGTATCCACCAAGTGAGATGAAACTTGATTTCAGAGTCAAAGCACAGGCCTGGGAGTCAAGACTCTTGAATTCTATTCCTGGCTTTCTCATTTATTATTAGATAATTAGTATCACCCCAAATATTAATATGTACTTTGAAGGACTGATTTTAATCTAGAGGAATGTCAATAAGCTGTACGATGTATCTAATAATAGCTTGCAGGAAAATTATTGATGCCATGGAATTCCCCATGAGATTTTTCTGGTAACATGCTTCTGCAAGTATAAAAATAAACAACTGTAAGACATATTAAAAATAGAATATCTCTGTGGAACAGTTAATGAAACAGCACATGGCTGTTCTTATAGACTATTTCAATCCAAAACAGGCACTAGGAAAATCTTGCTAATAAAACCCATCAAATTGTGTATTCCACCTCTGGTCCATAAATTGGTTTCTGATTGCGGCTAACTTTGTCACTGGCAACTAACCTATCAAAGTAATGTGGAAGGCTAGAGACATCTCCAGTCTTTAGCCCTTACAGCTGAGTTTTTCAATGTAGTTAATTTCAAAGCATAACTCTAGATAGGGTAGTACAGTAACTTTTCAGAATTTAGTAAACTGGTAGGGTGTGTACAGTGTACTGTATGAAATGTTTGTATTATCTTAAAACATTTAATTAAAAAACCCTTATTGCTGAATATTATTAGGACATTCCTACCTCTCACCCCACACTTTGAGATTTACGTGGATTAGGTTCACAATTATTTTAAAACGTTTTATGTTTAATTTTTACTGTCCAGTTTCATGGTGACTTTCTCTTGCAGGGGTCTCTAACTGGGGAGGCTATGCTGTTGCTTGTGCTCTGTATATCCTCAACACCTGTGAAATACACGATCGCTATCTGAGGAAAGCTATTGGGTTCCCCAGATTGTCCAAGAAGGCAAACTGGGCATCAGCACTTCCATCCATTACTAAGGTATTCTCTGTGGATAGGTTAGGAGATTGATAATGGGATGGTGAAACCTTCAGCTGTTGGTCACTGGTTCAGAACTACTACTATCACATGGCTATTTAATGTGCTACAGGAAATGAGTTTGGGCTCTCAGTCCAATTCCTAGTGGACAAGAGCACATACCACAACCAACATTCTCAGAAAAGGGTGCACTGATTATGTGAGCATGGAAAACTGAACCTCCTTATTTTTATAGATGTGCCATCCAGAATGGGGTTGAGGCAAATTAATGGGACAACATGAGAAATCTTGAATACTGAAGGTATCCATATTGCACCTGTTCCCCGGATAAAAAAAATTTCACTCTCAGTGGCTGCCAGACTCCTTTCACCAGCATGAAAATCAGTTTAAAAATATTCAAAAATATGTAAACTTTGTCCTCTGAATACATCTGCTGCTGGGTTTCTGTGAGTATTTGGACAGAATCAGTAGTATAAGCATATAAACAATTCTAGGGTGTTACAAGCTGCCTTTCTCCTAAAGCAATTCAGTTAAGTTTGAGAGAGACCAGGTGGATTTTAACCATTTGTTGAAAACTACAATAGAATACAAATGTGATCCTAGGCTACATTACAGCAAATAAAGTAAACAATCGCTCTCCTGCTGGGTGATCCAGCAAGGCATACTGGTTGTGGGCAGATGAACCTTTCTCTCTATTCAGAGTCTGTCACCATGCCACCACAAAGAGAAGCTCTTAACACCCCGTATAGATTCTAAGTTACTCGTGTCTTGTGATGGTCACAAGTCACATACATAGCATGTTCAGACATGCCGAACCATAGCTCCCCCAACTGCTAGAAAATGTGAAACAGGTGCTAAGAACATTAAAACAAGGGCAAAAGTGCCTCATCCCTGGGACACAGGAGCATGTAAAGGTGTATTTGGGGAGTGGAGGGGTTCTCCAGTCTCCTAACAGGGTTTCATTGTTTTTTCAACTTACAGTACCACTACTCTCCATCTTGAAATATAACCTTTCTTCCCACCTTATTATGTTTATGTAGGTAGAAACTGATTTGATGCCTGACAGTAAGATTATAATTGGAAATCTATAAAGGTTTCCATTTGAGCGAGCCAACTGTAAAAGTAAAAAGAAAAGGAGTACTTGTGGCACCTTAGAGACTAACCAATTTATTTGAACATGAGCTCCCAATTTATTTGAACATGAGCTTTCGTGAGCTACAGCTCACTTCATCCGATGAAGTGAGCTGTAGCTCACGAAAGCTCATGTTCAAATAAATTGGTTCGTCTCTAAGGTGCCACAAGTACTCCTTTTCTTTTTGCGAATACAGACTAACACGGCTGTTACTCTGAAAACTGTAAAAGTGTTCTTAGCTGAAATTGATTGTCAGGTTGAAGCCCAGGAGTGAACTTTATTTACCAGATTTGATGTCTGCTGTTTCAGATATTTCTAAATTAAAGAAGGGACAGATAATTGAAGTTCTGAAGCTTCAAACATATATTTCACCAATACAACTCAGAACTAGGTGTAAATCTGTAATCCTGTGGAGGTTCTCAAAATGAGAATGAGTTAAAATGGCAGAGGAGAGTCATAATTATACTTTTTCTTTTATAATAAAAAGGAACATAATTAAGAGAGCAGGGTCTGGTATACTGTGTCAATAACACAACCAGTCTGGATTTCCTAAATGTTCATTGGCAGAATGACCAACATAATGGCTTGGAAAAAGTCAATACTGTCTGTGTGATCTGCAAGCAAAGTCCTAGGCAACTTCTGTTTATCCATCCATCCTGTATTCATCATAGTAGTATTTCTACTGGGATCACAATAGGTTCTACTTAAAATTCCATCAAAATATCTCTCATTAATCTCAGTGATGGGTTTGTTATTTAACACTGGAAAAACTAAATTAATATTCCAGGTTAGACAAATACAACAAAAACAGGATACTCAGGACTATTTCTTCATATCATGTGCTTAAATCATCAGGTATTACAAGAAGTTTCTCAGAACAGTGCATGCACTGTTCTGTTATTTTTTGATACCTGGTATAAGGGAAAGATAATTGAAACTGAAACCATATTTTTCTAGCTCATACTCTTATGGGGTTATCCTGTGACCTAGCAAAACATCTCTCAATTGAAATGAGTTACTTTTCATTCTTTAATCATTTTTCACTTACATCACACCTCTAATTTCCCTTTAATTCTACATGACCTAAAATCAAGGGGAATTTAATCAAAATCCCCTAGTAATGAGGTATTGTAATTAAACACAGTATCTCACAGAGCAAATCCTGTCTTGCATTTGTATTACCAAGTTCTACAGCTGGCAGTCTTGATAATGATCTGATAATGGGAGGGACCCTTGAAGGTTCAATGCTAACATTCATTCAGATAAAACTAATGGAAACAGCTCTATAGGGAGAAAGAAAATCACATATTCTCTGTCAAGAGGCTATGATGGCTTTAACTGTAAACCTTGGAACAGTTAAACACTGCAGCAAATTTCTTGAGCTTCAACACCTTACTCCATTAGGGTAAAAAGATAAAAACTGAGCAAGAAATTGCAGACAGTTTGTGTTTTCTGCTGGCAGTTACCTCTCATATGCAATTGCTTTTAGTGCTCTGGCCAAGTGCCCAGTTAAGATAATAAAGCACCCTCGACATCTATACGCTTGGGCACCCTGGTACCTGGTATTCGCTTCAGGACCAACATGGCCTTCGGCACAGGCATGTGCTCTCATCTGAGGCACCACTTCCTGCCTCATTCTGGGCAATGGATGAATCAGATCACCTACTCTCTTCCTCTGCTGTTGCTCTACCCCAGTCATCAAGATCCCAGGACTCTTCCGCATCCAAGTCGGGGTCATCCTCCTCCTACTCCACATCACTCATTAGAGCACTGCGGGCCACTAATGGACTGTTATGGCTCCCAGGATTGGCATGCACCCTGTGGTCAGGACAGAGGTCCCTGACCTGATGCCTACTGGCCAGCAATGTCCTACTCATATCAGTGGCCTCCTTGGACTCAGTGGGATGCCCCTCGCTTGCAGAGATCCCACTCCTCATTACACCAAAGATCATTCACCAAAACAACGGTGATGGTTGTAGATCAGCTGCAAGCCCAGGCATCAGCAGGCCTCCTCCCTGCAGAGCTCCGGAGTCCTCCCATCTGAGTAAGTCATCCCGGGAGCAAGATCCAGCTTTGGCTCAATCAAGATCATCATCCTCATCTCCAGATGATGCTGTTCTGTCTGATTCATCCTCCCCTTCCATACTGGAGGACTTTGAGGCATATCGAGACCTTTTACACAGTAGCAATGTCCCTTGACATTCAGGCAGAGTTCCTACATGAGAACACCCACAAATTGGTGGACATTCTGCAGCCATCTGACTCTGGGAGAGTTGCCCTCCCAATCAGTGATGCATTCCTTGAACCAGCAAAAGCCCTCTGGAGCACACCGGCCTCGGTACTGCCACTGGCTAAGTGCATGGAGAAGTGCTATTTTGTTCCTGTGCAGGGATTTGAGGAGTTCTGTTCCCATTCGGCTCCGAATTCCCTGGTTGTAATGGTGATGAATGACATGGCTTGACATGGCAGAAAGTCCACCCCTAAGGACAGAGACTCCAAGCTGTTGGACCTTCTGGGCTGGAAAAACTACACATCCTTGTCCCTACAGATGTGGATCGCCAATCAACAAGTCTTGCTGTCCAAATACAATTTCCTTAATTGGACAGCTGTGCACTAATTAGTGGGCCTGAGACCTTGTGTGAGGAGTTTTGGGTGTTTGTCATGGAAGGGTGCTTGGTGCCCAAGATGTCCCTGCAGTCTGCTCTTGATGTTGTGGACACTTTGGCCAGGGTGGTGGCTTCTGTAATCACTGTGAGGAGGGCTTATTGACTGCAAAACTCTGGAATTGCACATGATGTCCAGCAAGCCATCAATGACTTGCCTTTTGATGGATGGACCTTGTTCTCGAAAAAGATCAATGACACACTAGCGCTCCTTTAAGGACTCCAGAGCTATCTTGAGGTACACATTGTTGACACAGAGGCACCACTGTGGTGGTCAGCAGCAGTAGTACTGCCTGCAGCACTCCTTTGTGCATTTCTTCCCCCTGAAACAGCAGGACTACCCAAGAAAAAGGGATCGTTCCCACAAGAGGAATCAGTCGAGCTTGGGGTTTGGCCAGTCCATGTGTCTTCCCCCTGTACCTTCTATGTGTACATACTAACGGGTAGTGATCAATGGCTCCATGTCTAGTTGGCAGCCGGTATCAAGTGGAGTGCCCCAAGGGTCGGTCCTGGGGCCGGTTTTGTTCAATATCTTCATAAATGATCTGGAGGATGGTGTGGATTGCACTCTCAGCAAATTTGCGGATGATACTAAACTGGGAGGAGTGGTAGATACGCTGGAGGGGAGGGATAGGATACAGAAGGACCTAGACAAATTGGAGGATTGGGCCAAAAGAAATCTGATGAGGTTCAATAAGGATAAGTGCAGGGTCCTGCACTTAGGACGGAAGAACCCAATGCACAGCTACAGACTAGGGACCGAATGGCTAGGCAGCAGTTCTGCGGAAAAGGACCTAGGGGTGACAGTGGACGAGAAGCTGGATATGAGTCAGCAGTGTGCCCTTGTTGCCAAGAAGGCCAATGGCATTTTGGGATGTATAAGTAGGGGCATAGCGAGCAGATCGAGGGACGTGATCGTTCCCCTCTATTCGACATTGGTGAGGCCTCATCTGGAGTACTGTGTCCAGTTTTGGGCCCCACACTTCAAGAAGGATGTGGATAAATTGGAGAGAGTCCAGCGAAGGGCAACAAAAATGATTAGGGGTCTGGAACATATGAGTTATGAGGAGAGGCTGAGGGAGCTGGGATTGTTTAGCCTGCAGAAGAGAAGAATGAGGGGGGATTTGATAGCTGTTTTCAACTACCTGAAAGGGGGTTCCAAAGAGGATGGCTCTAGACTGTTCTCAATGGTATCAGATGACAGAACG